ACTATTCAGACCAGAAACAAGAAACAATCTTTGTCTGAAAACTCAAAACAAAACCCATGGTTTCTTCTCTGCTTACAATGTCGATGAGTGGCACTAAAACATGGCCTCAAGCCCATATTGATTTAGGCTTTAGGCCCATTAAAACACACCAGAAGACGATCAAATGCACGGTGCAGATCGAACCTCTAAACCGGCCATTATTTACACCAACAACAACCACCGCACACAATCCTCTCCGGCTAAACATCTTCCAAAAAGCGGCGGCGATCGCGATCGATGCGGCTGAGCGCGCGCTGATCTCACGCGAACAAGATACTCCTCTTCCGAAAACCGCTGATCCTCGTGTTCAAATCGCCGGTAACTATTTTCCGGTACCGGAATCTCCCGTCCGGCGATATCTCACCGTCGAAGGAACCATCCCTGACTGCATTGACGGAGTTTATGTCCGTAACGGCGCAAATCCGATGTTCGAGCCAATAGCTGGTCACCATTTATTCGACGGAGACGGAATGGTTCACGCCGTTAAAATAACCAACGGTTCAGCTTCCTACGCATGTCGGTTTACTAAAACCGAAAGATTGGTTCAAGAAAAACGATTGGGTCGACCGGTTTTCCCAAAAGCAATTGGAGAGCTTCACGGCCACTCAGGAATCGCACGGTTAATGCTTTTTTACGCACGTAAGATATTCGGTTTAATCGATAATCAAAACGGCGTCGGAGTAGCAAACGCCGGTTTGGTTTACTTCAACAACCGGTTATTCGCAATGTCAGAAGACGATTTACCTTACCAATTGAAAATAACTCAAACCGGAGATCTCCAAACCGTTGGACGTTACGATTTTAACGGCCAGTTAAAATCCGCAATGATCGCCCACCCGAAACTCGACCCGGTTACGAAGGAGCTTCACGCTTTAAGCTACGACGTCGTTTCGAAGCCTTACCTGAAATACTTCAGATTCTCACCGGACGGAGTTAAATCGCCGGAATTAGAGATTCCGTTGGAGACTCCGACGATGATTCACGATTTCGCAATTACAGAGAATTTCGTTGTGATTCCTGATCAACAAGTCGTGTTTAAGCTCGGAGAAATGATTTTCGGTAAATCTCCGGTGGTTTTCGACGGCGATAAGGTTTCCCGATTAGGGATAATGCCGAAACACGCGACGGATGCTTCAGAGATCATCTGGGTAAATTCGCCGGAGACGTTCTGTTTCCACTTGTGGAACGCTTGGGAATCGCCGGAGACGGAGGAGATCGTCGTAATCGGATCTTGTATGTCTCCGGCGGATTCGATCTTCAACGAGAGAGACGAAAGCTTGAGAAGCGTTTTATCGGAGATTAGAATAAACCTTAAGACGCGTGAAGCCACGCGCCGCGCGTTGTTGGTTAACGAGGAAGATGATGTGAATTTGGAGATCGGTATGGTTAACCGGAACCGGTTAGGGAGAAAAACCCGGTTTGCGTTTCTGGCTATTGCTGATCCTTGGCCAAAAGTTTCCGGTTTTGCTAAGGTTGATCTTTTCACCGGAGAAATGGAAAAGTATGTTTACGGCGGCGAGAAATACGGCGGAGAACCGTTTTTCTTGCCTAACGGTAACGGTGAAAATGAAGACGACGGTTATATTTTCTGTCACGTTCACGACGAAGAGAAAGAAAAGTCGGAGTTACAGATTATTAACGCCGTTAATTTGAAGCTTGAAGCTACGGTTAAACTACCGTCTAGAGTACCGTATGGGTTCCATGGTACATTTGTGGAATCAAGTGAACTTGTTAATCAATTAGAATAATTAATTATTGTACCTTTTTAAATAATTTGATAGATATGTAAATTACAAAATATAGATAGGTTGAAAATAAGTTTTAGACAGTTAGTAAAATGGTGTTAGATTGGAATTTGGCTTTCTTTCGACGTGCACTCGTAGAGGAACATATTTTCTGAACACAACATAAATATTTATCAATATCAAAATAAAAAAACATAAAGCTCAAAACAATAATATGAAAATTGGAGAGGTATTAAGAAACTTGATCAGAGTAAAAAAAAATCAATTGCATCTTCATCATACAAAAGGGTACTGGTTGTTGTGAATTGTGATTGATAATATGCGATATGACATAATAATTATGCGATTCTGTTGCTTTAATACCACACGTAATTAACTATGTATATAATGACGGAGATTACATTACTTCAGTAATGTTTTGGTAGTATTTTACGCTCAATTTAATATAGACGCAAATGGAATGAATAGTTAGTGTTTATTTTTATTCTTTAGCTAAACGAGTTAGTGTTTATTAGAGGTGTTTTGACTTTTGAAGTGTTGGTGATAAGATATTTGTTGACATTTACAATCTTTATGGTCGTGTAAATACATATGGTCGTAAGTATAGTATAATTTGCATCATGCATTGACTCTGTATAGGAATATAGAAACTTAGCTGTATCACTCTTAAAGATGACTATTGACTCTGTATAGGAATATAGAAACTTAGCTGTATCACTCTTAAAGATGACTAAGGCAATGACGAAACAGTAGAAATGACGATCCAAAAATCAAATGTGGATTTTTCTCGTACGTGTTTATATATAGAAAACACCCGAAACCAGCAAAAGACTGTTCAAAAAGATCCATAAATTGTGAAGTTTACGATCATTTTATATATTATGAGCAACGAGTTCGTGGTATACAAGTGAAGCCACGTATGTATAATATATATCTACATTATTACCATATATTCACTATATTGTAAAATTGTGTTAACTCCATGCATATATATGTCTATATATGTCGGCCAAAGAAAAAAAAAATATGTCTATATATAGGGATGCAAGCGGTGGGAGTTAGGGGTGAAATTATTATCCGGGATCCGAGATCCGATCCGGTATCCGTTCGGATCCGCTCCGAAAATTAGGATATGCGGGGAGTCCGGATCCGGACAAGAATAGTAAAATCTAGGATCCGTGAAAAGAGGATCCGGATAACAAAATTTTAAGGTCCAGATTTTCGGATCCAGATCCGGACGCATTAAATATATTAAAAACATATATATTATATATCTATTAAGCTAATTTATATAAATAAATATATATAAAAATTGATTTTAGTTTTTTATAATAAATTATATTAATAAAATATCATTTAAAATATTAATTAATAATTTTAAAAAATATATTTTTATTTATTTATTAATTATTTTAATTATTTTTAATATTAATTTCGGATCCGGATATCCGCGGATATCCGTTTTTTTGGCCGGATATCCGGAAGTTCTGATTCCGGATCCGGATAGTTTTTTTCATGGATCCGACAATTCTGGATCCGGATATTTTGAAATTCCAGAATATCCGGATCCGTTCCACCCCTAGTGGAACTGTCATGAATATATGATGGTTATGATGTCATGGACCCTATATAAGGTGTTATACAAACGTTGCATGGTTAATGCAAACACGTACCTTGAAACGTTTTTGTTTTCATCCAAATTATTTGGACTAAAAATTGTTTATTTTTGATGGTTCGTACGTCATCGAAAACAAATAGTTATATACAGTGAAGGTAGCCACATATTTCATCAGTTCCATTCTGCTTTCCATAATATAGTTCCAAATCAGAAACGTCTCGAAACTACGTTATTGACTAAATTAAAACATAACATATTTTATAGTCTTGTTCGTACACAATTTCAAAATTTTATCCGAATAAAAATGAATATTGGGGTTAGGAAGCAATTTCCTGTTATTATGTTTCTTTAGTAAATGAAAATAATCATCTTTGGGCTAATGGAGGAATGTGTTGGTGTTATATTTATCTCTGTATATATTCTCAAATCCGTGCCTATTAATATCAAACAACATATATATAGATTTGAATCTGAATGATTATTGATCGAGGACATTATCACAAACCGCTATATACTACATGTCAATATGTCATTGTCCTAATTTTCAAAAAAAAAAAAAAATGGCATTGTCCTATAAGTAATGGCATCATGTATTTTGAAAATATTAACAATAACATGCAGATTACTACGAACCTATTAGTTATATTATCAAACATTTATGCATTGCCGTAAACTCAATTGGTGTTTATTTGATCAAATTGTATACACTATACATTTTGCATTTGTTAATTTGTAAATGGTATGCTCTAAAGATAAAGAATATGCTCAGCCGTTTAAAATCTAAACGAAATTGCATATAACCAAAAAAAAAAAAAACACATATATAAGCCATTAACCAAACAAGTTACAGAATAGTAAATAACTTTTTTGGTCTTGATATTTAAATTGTACTAGATTCTCACCCGCACTATGTGCGGAAACATTTGTTATATATGTTGTAAACTATACTTGGCTTTTG